AAAAGTTTCTAATTTGTAAATTTTAATAATAAATAAAGAATACTGAAAAACAAGAAATAAAGTACTAACCTGGGTCTAAATAACTTTTAATTTAATTAAATAATGCACCAAAGAACACAGAATAATAACATGCAAAAAGTAGACAATGTACCATAAATATCACAATTTTTCTGGCTTTCTAACTATTTGACAAGAGCTGTTAAAAATTCAGCTATGCTCATCAATGTGCTTCCTATGGGAATAAAGTTTGAACTGGAAGCGAAACAGACAATTCTTTGTATGGAAAATAATGTAATATAATATGACATTTTATATATTAAAACTCTGGCTTTATGTTAGTTATATGTAACATAGTATTAAACGTCAGAGTGCACTATTGCCAATTACTGAAAGAGAAGATGTGACAGGTGGGCATGGTAAGAGAAGTATGATTTTCTATTTTATGGCTCTGTAACCAAATAATATTGAAAGCTACAAAAATAATGCTTTGCATGAGTGATGACATTATAATGAGTAATTTACATTAAATTTCATACTTCTTGGAAGAGTAGTAAATAAATTAGAGAAGAGAGGATACCTAGAAAGTATGTTTCACATTTCTCATACTAGGGGAAATTCAGGGTTTTTTTATATTGCCTTATAAAATTAAGAACTTAAAACCTATATAATATTAAAATTTGGATTAATAGCTATGTTTTATGCCAAGTTTACTCATATACATTGAAAATAAAGTGGTTTAATTAACTTTTGAATATAACTCTGTAAAAAGTCATGGCATGTTCACTTTAACCTACACATAGCGAGAGAGTTATAATACCATGTGCAAATATATTGATAAGACAATTTAAAGAATGCTGTAAATATAATGTCTTGTCACCTGATTCAGATGATGTCTTACTGAATAATTTCAAATGTTTGAATATATGTCTCTAGGTCTCTTATAAAATCACTCAAATTATAAAATCCGAAACTGTTTAAACAATCTTGCAAATGTTTTGATTTTGAATTATATACAAGTTGTAAAGCCATCTAATTAAAAATTTTTTTTTCTGATATAGCTATCAAAAAAAGGTAATACTTATACTGACCCTTTTTTATTAAATTGTGAATAAATTCAATTTTGAGTATGATCCTGCATAAACCATCCATGAAAAAAATAAACAAGTGAAGAAAAATGTTAGATTTACCAGCACTGTAATATGATATAGTTGTAAAATTAAGCAACTTACAATATTTGCAAGTTTAACTTGTGCCATACTATTATTGATTTTTAGATTTAATTTAGAGGATATTTTTCCATTAGAAAACATTTATATTATTATTTGAGTTAATCCCAGCTTTTTTATCACTAAATGCTTCCTTTAATACTGGTGAGTAATAACTACTTCATTTGCTAGTGGTGAGTAATAACTACTTCATTTGCTAGTGGTGAGTAATAACTACTTCATTTGCTAGTGGTGAGTAATAACTACTTTACTTGCTAGTGGTGAGTAATAACTACTTTACTTGCTAGTGGTGAGTAATAACTACTTTACTTGCTAGTGGTGAGTAATAACTACTTTACTTGCTAGTGGTGAGTAATTACTACTTTACTTGCTAGTGGTGAGTAATTACTACTTTACTTGCTAGTGGTGAGTAATTACTACTTTACTTGCTAGTGGTGAGTAATAACTACTTTACTTGCTAGTGATGAGTAATAACTACTTTACTTGCTAGTGGTGAGTAATAACTACTTTACTTGCTAGTGGTGAGTAATAACTACTTTACTTGCTAGTGGTGAGTAATAACTACTTTACTTGCTAGTGATGAGTAATAACTACTTCATTACTAGTGGTTAATAACAATCACACAAACTGATCACAGTTTCACAACATCCTGGCAGCCTCAGAATATTCCACTAGTTTTACAATATTAAACACACTTAGACCTATCCAGTAAAATACATTTATCTCAACTAAACAAATGTAATAGCAAAAGAAATAAATTGTGTTTTTACTGATTTGTCCTGACGATTGCATACATACGAGAACAAAATATCCTAAGAGCAATTCCATAATATTTGTTCATAGTCACAGACTTACCCCATGAAAAAGTAGAGAAAAGGACTTCAGAAAGACTAATAATCCCATTAAGTAATGAATTTTGAAAGCTTCATCTCTGTAAAAACAGAAAATATAATTTTACAACAATATTTTATGTATAAAATGTAAACAAGCTGTTATACACTATTAGTTCTATCATATCACATGTGGTTGGAAAATTTATGCCAAGTCAAAAAAACAACAAGAACGTAAAATATAAGGAAAACTAACTGTGAACCAGGACTCTGACAGCCGGCTGACTTAGAGTCCTCTCTATTCTTTTCCTCTAAAAACAAATAAAAAAATGTTTAAAATGCTGAAAGAAATCATAATGAGTCACTGTGCAAGCATTACAACATTTGTACGTATACAATTTCTCCGAAATGAATGATCAAGAAATTAAAGATGTGTTAAATTATATACACCCCGACACATCAGTTAGCCTTTGGGTTAAAATTACATGATCTATACTTATACCTAAATATGTAATGCTTTTGAAATATGATTTCTGCTATTACTATGCACTAAATACAAGTACATTTAATTTTACTGTACTGCTGTGTTAACTACAAAGAATGTTAGGTTTACATTTTAACTTTAGGGAAACATTATTCAACATGTTATGTATGTTTATAAGATGAATAACAATACAAATGTCATGTTCTATAAAATTAGTTGCAGCAACTTCATACAATTTAATATTCTAATAGCTTTAGAATTACGTTACTTTGATCGTACAATATAAACAAGTAGACTGAAAACTTTAATGGCTGCTTGTGTCCATAATCAAATACTTCTGCTACACATAATAAAACAAGGATGATTGTAGTTTTCTTCATTGTGTCCACTAAAACAAATTATCAATACTCCAGTAATAATAGATATTTTACTACAATTGCAACTGCACCAAACGTGTGACACATACAGTACATGCTATGCCGATGTTCCAGAAATGTTCCTATAAATCTTATTTTTATTCACACATGTAAATTATGGTAAAACATCTGTTTTGGTAAAATATTGTACTTAGGTAGGTAATTCATTCAATTGTATACATTCCAACAGATGAATAATCACAGTTGTTTTTAAGTGTTCAGCAAACATTTGTTTGCATAAATTACATAAAATCTTGCATAAAGACAGTAACTATGAGGTATAAAACTGCTACAAAGTTTTTTCACAAATTGATAAAATTGTACATTTTCAGATATTCTGATGAACGAATAATACAACTTTGGAGTATATTTAAATATTAGTATCATGTAAGTATAAAAAGTTACATATATTGATTTTTGTAATCTAAATCACTAAGCATAATACATCTGTGCTTAAATAAAACAATTCTTACATTTCAGCATTTAACAAAAATACATATGCCTAAAGAGGAAAAGATGTATTTTTGTGATTTAAAACAAAGACATACAGAAGTTTAGTACAGACACACTGAAAAAAACAGCAACCAAAACAGAAATTAGTACGATCAGCACGAACTTGACAGCTGATGAGTGACATGCTCCTAAGATCATGTTTCATGAATAATGCAAAATCAAGAGACTTACTTCTTTTTTCTAATGACATAAATCCAAAAGCAGCCAACACTAAAGAAAACTACAGATAGTCCAAAATACATATGTGGCAGGGGCATCTCTCCAGCAGATAAGTAAGTACCTTGGTTTTCTTCTTTAATGGTCATCTGTAACAATGAAAATAACTGATTCTTATTACACTTTCACATCTGTGTAAATCTATAATAATTAATACCCAACAAGCAGTGTCACACTGCACAAAAATTGTTAATAACACAATAAAATACAGAAAACACCTAAATTTTTTAATCAAGATTAAATTATTGAAATTGAAAAACATTAAGACTTGACTCTCTCTTGTTTGGTTTCAAGTTAATCTCTTTGTATTTATGTACATTCTTTAATCATTTCTATATTCCTAACTCTATCAAACTTGTACCCTAATTGATTTTCAAGCTTTAAATATGTGTTTGAATTTAATTTTGTGAAGATAGCTATCTCAAAACTAAAAAAAAAACAAATTGTACCAAACAAACATAGATAAATAATAATGGAAGCAAAAATTCTCAAAAAGAATACAATGAAAATACAGTGTTTAACATAACAATTAAAATTAATCAAACTTATACTGACAATGCTATTTACTAATAAACAAACTTTTAATATCAGCACCAATCAAGCAATACTTACAGTTAGATTAACCATAGTTTTCTCCATATGTTTTCCATAATTAGCACAGTTGTGAAAATACAAGCTATACAGTCCCTTGTGCTTATCATCTCCAATAACAACAGAAAACTGGAAATAGCAAATTTAGGTTAAGTTCAATACCAGCTTCCAATCACACACAATGACTTTAATACTGTAAGATCCATTCATTGTTTTTTGTGACTATCTATATATACTGTAATACATGCAAATACATACAAATATCAAAATATTTAATTTTGCAATACAGAAACTGCACTTTCTAGAATTGTTGTGTTCTCATTATGAAACTGCTAATTTAGAAAATCATGAGTTACATGTAATAAAAGTGGAAAGGTTAACAATAACAAGAGATAAAAGTTCCTCTATAGTGTATTTTAAAACTAATTTCACTGGGATATAAACCCTATTATTTTAACTTAATTCTGTACCTAATGATTTGAAAGCATGAAAGCTTTAGAATAAATGTTTATCCATAAACTAAGGATGCAGTTGCTAAAATATGCATTGTAAAATGATTACCTGCTGCCAGTATAATGATGCAGACATCACATTATTTACATATGTTTTAAGACATAAGTTAACAGCGAGCCATCGGACATTTTGTCAATAGTCAAAGTCTATATAATATAAGAATATGAGCATCATCATGTAATGTCTTAAAGTCTCCTTTATTTATAAACAGCATAAAGTGTAAAACTAAAGTTGGAAAGTTCTTTAACTTGGTTCATATTTTTCATCAAACTAAGCCTTTTCTGTTCATGCTTCTTTAGCATTACTTGATTCATTTTTTTCTGCTCCTGCTTTGTACATCAAATGAGAATTAATTAGTAGTAATTAGTGTGAAAACCTTTCTGCAAGGTGCATCTACAATGTTTTTAATTGTATTATCACAACATCTATATTATACTAAAGTCTCCTAAGAATTATATAACTAAAATGTCAAAACAGTTGTATGTTTATTGACCATCATCATTTGTGAAGAAAACACAAAAGCATATTAAACCACAAATTAAAACCAAATACTAAGCTAGCCCCCAAAGAAAGAAATCCACATTTCCAATGAGCACCTACACATTCATTATGTAACCAACAGACACAGACCTGTCATGTCTGCAGCAATTTAATCTCTAGCAACAGGCTTTAATTGTTCATCTTAATAAGTTTGTTGTCACAATGTTTAAACACCCAAAGATAAATTTTGAGCAGTGCTGCATTTTAGTTTTACATATTACAACTTTTTTAGAAAGATAGGTAGCACAAATGTATTACTGATAGTATAAATAGAAAATCTTCCCATCCATTCATGCATAACCTCATATATATATATATATATATATATG